GATAACATGCACCACAGTGTTCGTCGTAACCTTACTCAAGTTGACCCAAGGCTTCCTAAAGAAATAAAAAATATTATCTTGTTTTTGAAAGAGGAAAAAAATGTTTTATCAAGCTTGCAAAACATTTCTGAGGAACGAAGGGAAGGTTGGTGGTGTAATTACATTTGATGACATTAGACACTGATAAAATCCTTTCTTTATGACATTTTTTTTTTTCTTCTTTTACAGCAAGTAGACTTCTTCGCGTTTGGGGTAAGGAAGGTGGCGACGACCTCGAGGTAAAAATTTAGCATTCTTCGGAGATTATTTCGGAAATTGGATTAATTATATAATAGATCATTTGATACTCAGGATATTACCAATAGTCTGGCCGATTTGTTGACAAAGGTTTCTGACGTCGAGCAAGTTTTGACAGGTGAGGTGGATATGAAAGGATCGAATGTTGATCATTCAACTCATTTATTTTGCTCCCATATATAAAAATAGAAAAGTATGGGCATTATAGGAATCTTCTCAAAGAAATTCGCACGGCCGAAGAAGCTCTCATCCCTTCGAGGGAACGTAAACGGAAGATACAGGAGGAAATACAAAGATTTCAAAAATCACATCCCAAGTCTCCGCGCATTCCAGAACTTGAAGCCGATCTTGCGCACGTGAATAAGGAATCTGAGTCAGAAGAAGCAGAAGTCGGAAATACCATCAGAAAAAAATTAAAAGAAGCCTTGAAACTCTATCTCGAGGCCATGTTTGAGAGTGCCGAAAAGATTGCAATTATTTCGGGTTTCGGATGGGATATTGTCGACCTGATTTATGACACACCATGCAAACTTAACTCTGAAAGGCCGATATATGAAGGTTGGTTTTTTTCTGATAAGAACGCATCACTCCGAAAGCTTATCCAACCATTTCTTGACCTGAAATTTTTTCAGGAAGAGAAATCACTCAACAAGTAATCAAGGATTGTCAAGTTTCCCTGCTCCGTTGGCAACCTTCGTCGACGGACATCCGACCTCTTTTGCCTGCATTGACCAACACAGCCCCGGCTGCTTTAGCCGCTCAAAAGCAAGAATATGAAACAAAATTAAATCAACTCACTGCCTCGATGAATAGTTTGAAAGAAGAACACGAATCTCAAGTCAAAGATTTTGCTTCCAAGTTGGAAGATCAGAAGAAATCTTATGAAACTCAAGTTAACGACTTTATCGCTGCCTTGGAAAACCAGAAAAAAGGCTACGAAGCACAATTAAACGATTTGTCTTCCGCTCTTTCCGAAGAGAAGCAAACATTTGAACAGAAAATTAATGAAGCCAATGCCGCTTTGGCCGCTCAGAAGGAGCAATACGATGTACAGATTTCCGAACTGAATTCCGTTTTTGAAACTGAGAGGCAAACGTCGGAGAAGAGGTTCAACGAAATTTCGGCGTTGTTAGATACACAGAGGAAACAGTACGAGACGCAGCTTAAAGAATATAATGCTTTGATAACGACAAAACAAGAATACGAGGTTGCATTAAAAGAGCGCGATTCGATCATATCCAAGCTTCAGAGTGACATCAGTAGCGTCGCCACAGAGAAGGGTAAACTAAGTCAATTGGTAAAGGATCTAGAAGAGGCTCTCAAGTCAAAATCTACGGTTGACCAGAAAGAGGACAAGGTTGGAAAGCTAGAAGATGAGATTACCAGTATAAAGAATCAACTTTCAGGATTGAAGTTTACCTCATCGGTTAACACATCGCAATTGTCAGATCC